ATCCTCGTTCCTTGCGTGGTCCTGCCATTCAATCATTATTATGTGTTGAAGCCAACTTTCGCTTCGGTACGCAGTTAAAGCGTCATTCCTGCGTAGTGGCTATCTCTGTGACGGCAACAACTCTAACTTGACAGAGGTAAGGTACAAACTAATTTCTATGGAAACAGTTGTTACTCCATGTTCAGCCCAAATATTCGATAAAATCGAAACTTGGGCAGTCCCCCTATTTTTCTAAGGACGGATAGGATCATCGGTGGAGATGATGGAGCCGAGATATTGAAATTTTTCAGTCTACAGAATTGCTTCACCCATTGCAGCTTGTGGATCACTGTCCTTCTTTCACAGATTGTTGTCTCGATCGGCGTATATCCAAGAAGAAACAAGGTCTTTTTCATGATAAACGCTATTTTATGTTTTAGGCTAGTGCTCCACCCTGTGCAGGTAAACATATGCACCGTAAAAATATATCGTCAGTGTTGTTTCAAACTTTTACCTCCAACACATTTTAATGTTTTTCACTCGCTGAAAGGTGAACCCGTGATTGACTTGAAACAGGCCTTTAAGACAGCAAGCTGTAGCAAAAGAGTAGAAAGCAAGATATGGTGATCACAGCAGAAAATGACTGAAATAAAATCACAGACAATCGTGCCCATACTTGATTCTGACAGTACCCGCCTCATGGAGAAACTGAGACTACGCTGAACGAGGAAATAGAACAGGCAAAATCAGTATACTCGTATTGCATTGAGCAAATGCAAATCTTTCTTTGTCCGGTAAAAATTTTCTGTGATTCATATTGGGCGTTTTCCATCGCGCAGAGTAACCAACAGCCAAAGGCTCAGACGAATCGAAATGACCACTTACGATGAGATGAATGTATTGGATCCTCTATGGTGACCGTAACCGCGTGTCATGAACCCTACAGTAATCGAGTAAGCATGCAGTGGAGACGGGCTCGAGATGATGACAAACATATGTATGCTTTTACAGTAAGTTTGTGACCAGAAACTCATGGAGAAGGACCAGGGATTCCCGTTTGTACGGAAACCTGACACAAATGCAACGAATGTTTCTACACCACGTCGACTACCCTTTGAACAGCCATCACAACTCCTGAGCATGACCAACTGAAGATGTGGCCAACAATACCTGACGGATGATGTCAGGAAATATAAATAAAACGTGTGCAACATCGTCATCTTAGGGAGATCTGTCAGATGATGCCAGGAGACAGCTGCGATATTGATTGATTCATACGCTGTGCAAAGATAGATCAGTGATAACTAAACTTGGTGAGCTGTCATATGGTCATACGTCTTTGAACTGTCAGTGAAACATGATAGAGTCCATTTTGAAAATATCTTCCGGAGCAGACATACGCAAATATGAAAACGAGCAAGAAGCCATGCTGTGAAATGAAATGTAGCCTAGCAAAATTGAGTTTTGCGACAACAGTTAGACTTGCTTAACGACACATCATTTCTTTTATGACCATGGCAACGGCTTCGTAACCTGGTCGCTAAGCATTCACCGAACAGAGCACGTAGTGCAACTGATTCAAACGTAGAAAAAGCATAAACAAGGTCTGCACATGCCATAGGAAGTGGAAGACTTTCGCAGGTGTAGCGGCGACCTCCGCAGCAGGGAATATGCAGAAACTTCTAACGGAACAATGCGTCTGCAAAGCACAGAGGAAGACTCGCTAAGCAGATGAACATATAAACTGGAAAGGCAGTTTTAATGATAAAATGGCACTCGTTAAGACAGCCTCGTAAAAGGCAATGCCTGGTATTTTTAGTTCGGCTTACATTTCCCGCAATGCCATGCTGTATTCAAAAAATGGCTTGGACTTAAGACTATTAGATTATGCCCCAGTTAAGGGATAAATATCACAAGGCAAATGTATTAGGTATAGGTTTATGAAAATGCTTCAGAAAGTCTGCTTCTGCGATGCAATGAGCGTGATCTGTAAGCTTTATAGTCCATAGGAATTTTACGGGTAGAAATGAATTTTCAGGTACCGTTCCGGAAGAGAAAACTGGTGGTAAAGAAAATGGCGTAAAGCCGCCAGAAATGGTGGAAAATGAAATTAAGCACTCCGGTGTTGTAATTGACTCATTAGAACAAGAGGTTTGGATCACATCACCGTGTAAATATGCATGTAAGGACCATCCATCTGCATGAATAGAGTGCATTGTACTCACTTTAAAATGTTGTATGAATCAGGCGGCTTGCTGTTTACCTTGTCGAAATTGTGCCAAGACCATGCTAGTCAGTTTGCAGCAAAACGTGGCGGCAATAAACATCTAATATTTGCATTGTTTTGATTAGTCAGCCATGAATGGGCTAATAATCCATAACTTAAACAACGGATCCGGAATCGCAAATGTTGTGTCCAAACAGCGGTGCTGGCAAGTTTCAGGCGTTATTCTCCATACGCTGTTCCGGCACCCTTCTTACTAATCAATCATCAGTAAATGAACTGCCTTTTTCTTAGAGTAAGCTCTGCTCCGTTTTATGGCGTTTTGGAATTCGATTTCTTTGGAATCGCAAAGCGATTTGCGAATTTTTTCCAAAGCCATGTTAAGCCTAAGTGAGCTTTGTTGACTTTATTGGCTTTCAAGAACTCGCGAAATGTGCCATTTCATTCGTCGTCATTTTTCAAAGGCAAAAACGCAGAAAAGTTTTTTTTTGTAACTGTTTGAACAGCTCCGCGCCTTTGGCCAAATTGCACATAAAAATTAGTCACGAATCGAAAACAGGATTCCATGAAAAAATGGTACTGTTTACTTTTTCACGGTAGAAACATGAGGTGAGCTTAACGTGAGAAGAGGGGAATTAAAAATGGCAGAAATGAGTCGGATGATAATGATAAAATAATATTTGCAATTCTACATTTATGACATTATTCGTTTGGAATGCTCGGAATAAGTTATAACGTTCATCTCTGTCAAGCAACAATAACAACGAGCAACAGGGTTCTACGCATTGTGCTCTTTCTCAGACTGGATAACCAGCTATCAGGTGGGCCAAAGTGAATTGCAGCCCTGAGAGGCGCTAGCATAAAACAACACAGCCACTCCTCTCGTTCGTCATAAATGGTGATGGTATGATTAAACAGGGCACCATGCTAAAAATTTCTAAAATGTTTACAGATTAATGGCTCGATACCAGTTTTTCGGTTGATTGCACCGATGCAAGTTTTTTTTTTGGGGGGGGAGGGGAATGTGAGAGGGAAA